AAGTGCTCTCGCCAAAGTCCCTATGTTTTGGGTCGGAACTCTCCTGGTTTGCATATTCTCACCTTTCTTCATTCCCAGTAGCAGAAGAGCAAGAAACCTGTGCTAACAGGGTCAAGTGAGCATTCCCTTTGTGTAGCAAGACCTTGCCTCTCCCCTGCACCATGTCCACATCCCCCTCTCTACATGCCTGAGGGCCGGTACTCCAGGAATAGCCAACTACTTTGTGGCTTGGAGGGCAGGATATCAGCCAACAAAAGTGACTGCGTCCTCCGATGCCGAGGAGAGTTTGACCATTAGAGTAAATCCTTAAAATGATTCTGCTATCAACTCCTCTGATACCTGCGCTTGGGTCCTTGGCTGCAGTGACCTAGCCTGCTGACTTAATGGGGTACTCCTGATGCATTCCGTTGTAAACAAAGCAGGACTCGGGCAAGAACATTTTGGTATATGCCTCTGCAAGACAAGGCTCATTTATTTAGTTGATTCTAACCTTTTAGGATACTGGCTTACATCAATCCTGTGTTTAACTTAAATGAGACATGGCTCTGCATGAAAATTACCACTGCAGGTTGATTTTGAAAGCTGGTTTTAGGAGCACATACAGAAAGTTGTTTAAACTTTGGGCCCAAACTGCATGTACAGCTTCCACTGAAATCAGCTGGAGACAACTGTAAATGTTTCTGAGGGGAAAGGCCATTTGAATAAGGCCATTTGATTTTTGTGAATGTCAACATTTTAGTTTTAGCTGATTCACAGTCTTGTGTTCAGTAACAACAGTGATTGCTGGAGAGCCATGGGAAGTGAGCCAAGTGGACACAGAGAAACTGCTTTAATATTATATTGTGTCTCTGGCATGCTACAGTGGAAAAACTTAATATGGAAACTGGACATTGCAGAAGTCCAGAACTGGGTGTAAAAGCACCTGTCTGAAAGTTACCAAGTGATTTTTGAGACTAGATGACCCACAGAGGTCCCTTCCAACCCCTACTATTCTGTGATTCTGTGATTCTGTATATGCCTCTGCAAGACAAGGCTCATTTATTTAGTTGATTCTAACCTTTTAGGATACTGGCTTACATCAATCCTGTGTTTAACTTAAATGAGACATGGCTCTGCATGAAAATTACCACTGCAGGTTGATTTTGAAAGCTGGTTTTAGGAGCACATACAGAAAGTTGTTTAAACTTTGGGCCCAAACTGCATGTACAGCTTCCACTGAAATCAGCTGGAGACAACTGTAAATGTTTCTGAGGGGAAAGGCCATTTGAATAAGGCCATTTGATTTTTGTGAATGTCAACATTTTAGTTTTAGCTGATTCACAGTCTTGTGTTCAGTAACAACAGTGATTGCTGGAGAGCCATGGGAAGTGAGCCAAGTGGACACAGAGAAACTGCTTTAATATTATATTGTGTCTCTGGCATGCTACAGTGGAAAAACTTAATATGGAAACTGGACATTGCAGAAGTCCAGAACTGGGTGTAAAAGCACCTGTCTGAAAGTTACCAAGTGATTTTTGAGAGTGTGTCTGCACTGAGTGATGGTAGACGTGCTCAAGGAACTTAGGCAGACTGCAGTTCAGAGCTAAAGACTGCTGAAGAGAATCTGATAGCCTGCAACTGGTGACCGGCTTGCTCACCCAGGCAGGCGTTTGAGCTGTCTGTGCAAACACTTTGTCTTACTGTGTACACACTCACCATGGCTTACGACTGTGCTGACACCAGCCGGTTTGGGGCTCCAGAGCGTTACAGAACCTAATGCCTGTTAAGGGATAATTTTCGAAAACCAGCTACTTCTTCACTTGTTGATGGCTTGGGGGCTGTATGAAGTGATGGACGTACTTTAGCTTCCATTTCAAGTCAGCAAAAAGCAGGAGTCTTCTGACTGTTAACCACAGGCGAGCCAGCCAGCCAGCACTTTTCTTTCTTACAGTGTGCATTGTCTTTCCATGCTCCTTATCCATCCTGTTTGAACAAGCAGGCAAGAAGCAGGTGTACAACAAGCATTTCTGAACGTGTGGACCAAAGGACAGAATGATTGTGAAACGTAAGCAAGGTAACTAGGTATTTTGTTTTAATCCAAGGGAAAAAATATCTCATAGGTCTAACTGTATGTTTGCTAGTGACTACGTTGTACCAGTGTTATTGTGGAGCATAAATGTGTTTCTTGATTCGGAGTGTAGCTTTTGATGGAATCCTAATAATTCAAGACTTACATTTGGACTGCATCTTAAACACAGCTGTTCGCCTAATACACAAACACTTGTGGGAGATCCAGTGAAGCAAAAGAAAGCTGCCAGTGAACTTCCACTTCACACATGAGGTGCAAATCGAGTTAGCGTGTTATGTTAAAGAAATGTTCTCAGTTGCAGTGTAATATATAAAAAGTCCAGTTTCCCTTAGTAGGTAAGTTGTCTTGTCAGCAGTTTCCAACTACTTGAAATAAAAATTTTCCATTTAGTTCTAGTGGCTTGGTAGGAATCCCAGTCCCTTTCCCCTCTCTTACCTTGCCTTATAAAAAAGACATTTAGTTCCAAAGGATATTTCTTTCAGAACCAACATGTTACAGTAACTGGTGTTCATTACAGTCTATTCCAAACAAATTATTTTCCTCTGTTATTTAATGACTTTAATAAAGACTTAATCAATAATGGTTTTAAATATGCAGTTATTTTTGCAGTGTTTCCAACATATATCATTAGCTGTAGCGTCCAAGAGTAGACTTGCAAAAAATAGTGCTGTGGTAGCAGATACTTTAATACTGAAATCATGTTGTGGCAGAGCCATGTTTTAAAGTAGCCAAAATAAAGCGACTTGTATATTTATATTACATTAAAATATGGAAAGAAAGGTTTTTATTGTGAGACATCTGTGCATTCTATCAAGTTAGGTTTTCCATATTTTTTCCATTTGGATTGCCTTAATATTTTTTTTATTGTATGAAAAAGCCAAGATTTGGGAGTAGAAGCTTAAGAGCAGACAGAAAAATTGGTGTAATTTACTTTTGAAGGCAAATCTTTTTTTCAGGCTTCCAGGAAAATTGGTCTTTGGACTTTAGATTCTGCCCTGGCTTTCATTTAGTGCAATCACTGAATTCAGTGAGACTGCATGAAGCATGAGCTGAATCAGGCCTTTTCACTAAAACTTTTTCACTACATGCAACTGCTATTGCTGTGAAATGATAAACAAGTGAACTTTACCAAAACCTCTGTATCTTAGCCTTTTTTTTGAAGAGAAGATGCCATAAATTGGGGTGATTTATATTGTGAGGCTAAAAATTGGTTTGAAGGTAAAATTGTAAGAACTGATGCAGAGTTAGGCTGGAAAAAGAATTGTCTCCAGAAAAACATGATGCGATGTCTCCAGACTGAATTAAAATCAGAAAAACCTCATAACACAAAGCAATTCTATTAAGTGCTCTATTAGCTATATTTGAGAGTCAGGTTCATGATTGGAATGGTATCTTCTGATTCTGTAATCTGTGTAGCTGATGAATCTTTATTATACTGTAAGCATTGTTTTCAGATAGGTTGATGTTAATTTCCGTTCATTATTAAGCCAAGTGGGATTCATTGGCTCAGTCTTAATGAAGGTGTGCTGGCAATGAAGTATTTCCAAAATGAAGCTTTCTGCAGGTAGTCCTGTTTGCTGCAGTGGGATTATGTTTGGAAATGTTGCAGATTTGAGGTGGAAGTGAAAGAGAAATGAATATGACAAGTGAAAACACAGTGTATGACTTTGAGCAACTTGTTGTTCAGTCTTGGACAGAAACTGCTTCAGCCTTCTGAAAACAGAGGTCTGTTCTTGCAATGAGGCTAAGCAGTGGAAATTGGATAGGTACTGAATTTCTCTGTGTTCAAAGAATATTGAATCTGGTCCTGTGGCTACTGTGGTATAATATAGGGATATATTTTTGTCAGTGCAGGCAAAACTTAACCGATGCCATGAGGCCACCTCAAGTGTTTAAGTCCCCTTGCTAAGCAATCTCTCAGGAATGTCCTGTACAGTGAGAAAGGCCACAGAGAATACACACCAAAGAACTGAGCGCTTCTGTGTGTACGTGGATCTGGTTTCATAGATGCCTTTTGCAGATTTTGCTACAGTGAGGCCATTGCATTAAACCCACCAGTCAGCACTCCTTTCCTGCCATCAAAAGCCAGCCACTGCGCTAGGAAAACTGAACATATGTTATAAGCGTATGTTAAACATTAAACAGAGGCACTGCTTTCACTGCACCACTTTAGACCAATGAGCTCCATTTTTAAGCAGTGGAATTACTGTGGTGCGTTAGGTGACACTCACGCACCCAGCTGACAGCTGGATTTCACAGACGAATGAGCTTTCTCCTTTGTTCCAGGCTGTCTGGAACAGACTACAAGGAGGGAAGAGCTACAAGTCTTACGAGTGGAAAGATGGAGAGTGTTTTCTGCTGTAACTGTAGCATGAAGTAAACACACTGCAAATTAGGTGTAGACTTAAAATGAAATAGCTGATAGATCTAGCAGGCAGTAGCCTGGAAGATAAGAATAGTACTATTAAATAAGAAGATAAGGTTGTCAGAGAAAGCACTCTTTGACTCAGGTATAAGTCTCCTTTATTTACCTTCCAGAAAAAGTCACACGTGTGAGGATGAAGATGAATGAATGAAATAAAATAATTTACTTGAGAGTTAAAAGCTACCTACATGAACTGCAGCACATTTAAGCGCTGGCTTCATTCCAAGTCTATGATTAATGCCATTTTTATTTTGCGTATTCTAAAGCATAACTGCTGAGTATCTTACATGGTAAGGGATAGGATCATTCATAGTGTAAAGTTAGCTTTAAGCATTTGGTTGAAAAATCCATCAATGTTCTCTTGGATCTACAAATGTATGTTATTGAAATTAATACTGATGAGAAAAGTTTGGTTTTGCTCTTATGATAATTTTACTTTTCCATTTGTAATTTGCTAACCTTTGCTATTTGTATTTTAGAGACAATTTGCTGTTTTCTCTCTTGCAGAACGTGGTTCACCACGTAATTTAGTTACCACAGACATAACTGACACTACAGTTGGGTTATCATGGACACCAGCTCCAGGAGCAGTTAATAATTATAGGATAGTATGGAAGTCACTTTATGATGATACAATGGGAGAGAAGATAGTCCCTGGAAGTACAGTGGATGCTGTGCTAGAAGGCTTGGAGCCAGAGACTAAATACAGAATTTCGGTATATGCAACCTACAGCAGTGGAGAAGGAGACCCAGTAGAAGGAGAGGCTTTTACTGATGGTGAGTGTAGTACACCATTGCCACCATTTGTAACATTCTGTTCGTGATGAAATTGCCATATTTTAAAGAAAATGGGCCTTATTTTTCTTCATCTTTTTTTTCTTGAAAAGTCCTTCCAAACCAAAATGCCACCTCAGATCAGTCAATTCTGGCATTTTTTTTGACCATTAAAAAAGAGGACAATCTCTTCTATGTCATGCAGGTTTGGATTCAGCAATAATTGCTTTCAGCTTAAGCTGTGACTTTGTCTGCAAATTACTCTGTCACCACCTTTTCCTAGGGTTTGGTGTAACTGCTGGAGATCAGGTGGAAGAAATGTTATGGACAGAGTAAGGAGGAAGGGTGGGGTAAATTCCCACAGAATAAATGAACTTTTTTCCCAAGCTATTACCCTTTCCAGTCTTCACAATCCTCAAACTGAGGCTCACTGGGTGATTTTGATGTTTGTTATTTACATTTCCTGAGGATCTTCGGTTTTCTTGTTTGCTAAACATTATGTAGTATCAGTACGAGTCAAAGCAGGCTCAAACCTCTCCTGCAGTGTAGGCAAAGTAAAAAAGACTGAGAGGCCAGGGATAGCTAGTTGCTTTATAGCAAGAACTGGCAAGCAGAGGAGCCAAAATGAATGAAGGAGTGCCCTGAATCAACCTTGATGCTTCTGTTGTTTGCCTGAAGGGGCCGTGTGAAGGTGAAGCCTAAGGGAGTGCTCTGGGGAAGCATCATGTGTGTTTACGTGTCTGTTTTGACTACTGTTGGAGACAGGCTGCTGAACTACTTTAACCTTTGTCCTTGACCCAGTATAGTTGCTCTTAAGGTCTCGCCAGAGTAGTGATTGGTGCCATTGGAAAGAGCTGACTCCCCAGAGTCAAAGCAGACTGCTGTCCCACATCTTTCTTGTTTCTTCAAGAACAACAGTATTAGCTGTCCTGCCTTTTCCAGGTTAAGTAGGCAGCTTAGACATACGATTTGTTGGTTCTCTCAGTGTGCTGCCTGAGGGAACTTGCTGTCAGGTCAATTAATACACCTGGACCTGACACTAACTAATGTTGCATCTTTATGGTACAAACACAATTAGCAATTGTCAGTTCCTAGGACTGGGAGAGGATACTGGAGCCTGCAGAGCCTACTTTACAGTGTGGTGAAATACTGACTGATTCTAGCATGCCAAGATGGTTCTGTTTTGCCAAAACCTAGATGGCTTATTCCAGCTGACAGCCAGGATTGCATACTTTTCAGTTCACTTCAGATCATTTGTAATGTTTGTACGGCCTGGAAAATATCTCTTAAAAGCCAAATGCTGCAATTTGTAGAGAAAATGCTTTATTACAGAATCACAGAATCACAGAATGGTAGGGGTTGGGTTTCAGTACATATACTATCCTGCAAATAGTGGTGAGTGATTTTCCAAGCATTTGGAAAGTCACTCATCACTATTTTCAGAATAGATTGTATGGAGCCCAACACCCAGCAGTTTAGATATTTACCAGTACCTTATCAGACCTGTAAACTCAAAATGTAGAAAATCTTAACTCTGTAGGACATTGTGTTATATAAAAAAAAAGGCTTTATAATTTATCACCTTTATTTGAGAGTGCTGAATCCTTTATTTGACAGATTACTGGAAAGTAATTTTATCAGACCTGTAAACTCAAAATGTAGGAGTGGCTAAATAGAACTACCAATTGTGCTGTGTCATCATGTAATTTATACTTCGCTCTTTTTTTTTTTTCTGTAGTGGAAAGCACACTAATATATGCTTAGTCCATTACATTTAAAAAAATAATTTAACAATGGCCTGTGAGATTCCCCTGTGTCTTCCCCACAATCAAATACTGGAATTCCAAAGAGGGCAGTTTTTTGTGTTTTTTTTTTTTTTTTTTAATAAAGCAGAATTAATTTTGTAGGCATGCCTTTGAATGTAACTTTATGTGACAAAGTAAACATTTATCCATATTTTTACACTGAAAAGTGTCACCAAATGCCAGGACTGTGACGGTAGACAACGAGACAGAAAATACAATGAGAGTTACATGGCAGCCTTCACCCGGGAAAGTCTTGTCTTATCGTGTGTACTACCGACCACGCAGTGGAGGAAGACAGATGTTTGGAAGAGTAAATGCTCCTGCTACAAGCATAGTGTTAAAGCGACTTAAGCCACGAACTACATATGACCTCAGTGTTGTTCCAATTTATGATTTTGGACAAGGAAAATCAAGAAAAGCAGAAGGAACAACAGGTATGTATCACAAGCTTGTACTGGATTTGATAATAGAAGTTTTGTGCTTAAAATTAGTAATCATGATAGGTAGAAAAGTATGGTGGAGTCTGCCAAGATCATTAATTAAGAGGCAAATTGAAGAAACTGTTAGAGGTTAGGAGGAGAGTTTGATTTGTTGGAAATTTGGCTATAGCATAGCCTGAGCACAGCTTTTTGCTGTTGATAGTGAGGGTGTAAATATGGTGTAAAATGTGACTGAAAATACCGGACTTGTTTTGAAACACTGTCATCAGAAGTCAAAACAAAGTGTTTTGTGAGGAAGACAACATATCAACAGACTACTTAATCAAGTGCTGTCAGTTTCATAATTTGCGTTTTGGTCCTGGGTGTTGATTAGCTAGCTACCCAGCATCCTGTTACTTAGATTAGTTGTCTTTAGTCACCATATTTGCTGTGGAAATAAAAAGGGGGAGTAGATGATTTTGAAGAGTCATCAGTGGAAGCCTGTCCTCAGAGACCATGCTTTTTTTGATGAGCTATCTTCTCCCTTTGAAGCTGAAACTCTAAAATTTATGAAGTCCTAGTGAGAGGATTTTTGCAGTAAAAGCAAAACTCATTTTCTGCTCTGTCTTTAGTATATATCTGATGCTGGTCTTTCATTTTGTAAGGAAATGTTCTCTTGCTATCCAGATCAAATCAACCAGATTTAGAGTCAGTTTTTTGATTCCCTAGATAGAAAGCCATTAAAAGAAGAGAATATTTTTCAGGACGTCTCTGCCCATGTGGATATAGTGCCATTCACTAAGGTACACTGTAAATATTTCATGCAGTTCTCTGTTCTCTGAGACATCTCATGTTGAATGATGAGAGGAAGTAAAAAATGAGAAATGAGTTTCCTAACAGTGGAGATATTGGCACCTCTGTTACTGAAGGAACCTTTCTTTGTAAATTAAAGTGTGATTGATGTAGAGGAGTCCTGAGAACTTCATCAGCTCTTGACCAACATCTAGATTTTCAGTCTTGAAAATTATACTGAGAGAAGTCTCAGATCATCCAGCTGCTTTTGGTTTTTGACCTGTTCATCTTGATACAGATAGGCATCTGTGCTTTCAGTGTAAATAATTGTGCTGGTAAACACTCTTTGGAAGCAAGTGAAGCCTGAGCGATCTTGTTAGTTGAAGCTGTCATGACAATTCAGGGAGGAGTGTCATGAGATATGAGAGAGAGAGGCTGTATTTTTCCTTGTGACTGAGAGTGTATCTACTGTTTCTCAGCAGAATTCAGTCTGAGGACATTTATGGTCTTTCAGCTATAGTTAGACAATTGCATAGACACAGGGATAGGACAAACATTTTTTTTCCCCTCCACCTTTTCACTCCAAAGCTAGAATGGTGACTTACTGTTTGTTCAAATTCCAATTTTTGCAACTTTGAAAATACGCTGCTGCAATATTTTCTACAACTGCACTTTAGATTTACACAAAAGCAAAAGTGCTGCAGGGGCTAGCAGTAGGCTTGTTAACTACTCTGTCTGTTTGTGAGTGCTGACTTGCACTGGGTAGCCGTTAGTCTTCAGAAGAAGTAGCTCTTGACCTAAAAACCTCAAGCTGTTTGGCTGGTACCCCTCTGAATAATTATTTTGTGACACGCTGCCATACCTGTGGTTGGTGAAGTTGCTTGAGCTGCCAGGCCCTGAGCATGTAAGAGGACTGTTGGCAAGACCTTTTCTACAAAAGGGTCCTTGCTTCCACCCTCTCCATGCTCTGATCTGTGGGACCCAGAACTCTGAGGAAGCAGCTTGAGAATCAATGTTGGCGGCTGAGTAGTGGCTCGATGTGATTTCTGCCTGCAGTAAATTCTGATTTTTCCAGTGTCGGTTTAAGAGGAAGCTGCTTCCATTTCTCTCTTTTGGTCTGTATGGCTCACCTACTTGTTGCTGTTTGAAAGAGAAAGAGGGCTGGTGTAAGCTGGTCATTTAGCCTTTCTCGGTAATTAATAGAGAGAAAGACTGATGGTGGTTAGTCCACCTATTGTCAACATTTATTATAAGATCAGATGGATATTTAAGATAGGTGAGATGAATTGCTCTTTATCCTTCAGTCCGTTGGCTGTAGAGGGAGCCTTGACAGTAAGCTTAGCTCACATACCTATTGGTTAGATAGCTAAAATTACGTGAACTGAACCTCACCTTTCACTTCTTGGTGCTTATCTTTATGTCAAAGGAAAGGCACAAAGAGTTTAGGACTGCCACTAATACTGGATTTGCATATGGATATTTTATATAAAAGCATACTTGTTGATTTTTTTTCCCCATAAACAGACCTGATTTAAACCCCTTTTTTTCCATCCTTTCAGCCTCTCCCTTTAAGCCACCTCGAAATCTGAGAACTTCTGATTCAACTATGTCAAGTTTCCGAGTAACCTGGGAGCCAGCCCCAGGGCGAGTGAAGGGGTACAAAGTAACTTTCCACCCTACTGAAGATGACGGGAGTCTAGGAGAATTAATAGTGGGGCCATACGACAGCACAGTGGTATTGGAGGAGCTTAGGTATGGATAATAATTCATGTCTTCTTATTTTTTTAAAAAATAACTTTAGCTTAGTGTTTTGTTTAATCATGATCTGGGATTGAAATGCCTGGCAAAAGCTACTGTAAGTAAGAAAGTATTTTTGTCAATAAGCTATGAGGATCTTGATATACAGTCTCTGAAAGGCACCTGGCAGGGCTCTTTCTGAGCTTACTCATTCACATCACTTGTAGTGTTCTTATAGGGACAGTGAAGGAGGCATAAATGTGGGCAGAGGCTGTATTCTGCATTTCACACACAAGAAATCTAATGGGACACTGGAGAAGGCTGCGATTTCTAAACTTTCCTACTGAAAGTTCCTACCTCACATTTGTTAAAAAAAGCTTGGTTTAGTTCTTGATTCATTTTCGCAGAGGCCTGAATTTATAAAGTAGGCTTCAAACCATGTCAAGATCTGTTACGCAAATACACTAAGTATATTACAAATAGGATTGTTAAAAGTCTTAAATTACTCGAATGAAGAAGGCTATAAATTAAAGTATAAAATCTAGCTTCAGCTTTTAAATTGTTGAAACTTCACTGTCTGGTGGAAGAGCTAGTCTTTGGGCTTCACGTTTTAATACCTTCTTTTCCATAGGGGATTTTTTTCTGTGAGAATTTCATAAGTGAAGTGTCAGCATTTAGCTGGCCAAGTGACTGTAGTTACAGTACATTTGTTTAACTATTGCAGGGCAGGAACTACCTATAAGGTAAATGTTTTTGGAATGTTTGAAGGAGGAGAGAGCAACCCCCTGGTTGGACAAGAGATGACCACCCTTTCAGACACTACTTCGGAGCCATTTTTATCTAGAGGTAAACATGACTGAATCAAAGAAAAGGGAGTCTTGGCTTTTGGATAAAAAAAGACTAAAAGTTTACCAGCATTTCCGTATCATTTTTCTAATGCACATAAATATTTATTTACAGGGTTTAGTATACTCCCTACCCTGATGACCTAACCCTGGTCTGAAATGACCACTAAGTATGCCCTAGTTCATGATTCTGGTCCTCTGCACCCTTTAGATGATCTTACAAAGATGATAACTCAGGAAACCCATGTTTTGCTGATTACTCAAAGCCATCTGCATTGCATTTTCAAGCCGTCCACATCTGTGTTAAATCACATAGGGTCAAATTCTTGAACAGAGATCATGGCTCATCTACAGGAGTGTTCACAGGAGTACAATAAGGGATTTTAAGCAGATCTTTAGCTCTTTGCTTGTCCATAGACGGTGAATTTTCCTTTTAAGATTAAGATGGTATAATGAACAAAGATCTGATAGTTGGGAATGTCCAGTGTTAATGTGTATTATTTAAATTTATATTCAACATAACCATTATTTAGTCTTTTTTTTTTTTTATTACTATAGGAGATTTGGTTCAAAAATGCAATTGCTGCGTGCTCTCCATTATCTGTTTGGGAGTTTCTCCCTGTGTGCCTAAACCTTCCAGTCAAAGTTTGACTATTATGAGAGCAGCTCCCTTGATGTGGTTAATGGGCCTCTGCAAGCTAATAGTTGTGCCCACCATACTCTCAATTAATATCGGATGAAGAAAGTTTTGGGGCTTAGTCCTCCTTCTTGGAAATCATAAAGAAGCAGATCTTTGCTTCTTAATAGCCAAGTATGCATGTAGACTTTTACATAAAGGCTTTTGTCTACCGTTTCAAGGCTTGCATAACCATCAGAGAGAATTTGGTGAGGAGAAAGAACCTAACTGCAAAGGCCTTGCAGAGTTAAATAACGGAAAAATATTTTCTGACCGTTGACTCCATATTGTTTTGGCTTAACCGCTTTCATGCCTTGTTTCCACACTGGGCTGTGTAAAAAAAAAACCCCTTTGTGTAACTTTATTGACAACATTTTTGGAAACGTCTTAATTAATTGCCGTCCCACTCTGGCTAATACAAGAGAGTAAAACTGAGAAAAACTACGTAACAAACCATCAATGACATTAGAGTAAAGCTGTAATAAATGTTGCAAAAACAATTGCACTAAGAGTGGTTTGTTATTTTTTATTACGACAGCTGTCATTTCTGTCTTCAGTGTTTTATTTCTTAAGCTAATTAGTTTTACCTATGCGTGGGTTTCAGTCATGGTTAATGTGAAAAATGATTTTTATATCTGGGACTGGAAATGTAGTAGTGCATTATTTATTAATACCAGAAAAAAAAATCACCCTAGGTCTGGTGTCTTTGCTAGAATTTTCCATGTGGGGAACTATGGTAGTTGGAAGAAAAATAAAAGTCAAAATAGTTTAACTTTTATGCTGTACATGAAGCTAACTTTAACTTACATATTAAAGTTATGCATGCAATTTTTTTGAACTAACATGGTTTTACTTAAACCCTACTCCCAACTGATTTTATTGTCCTGACTAAAGACTAGATCTATATTTTCTATGCAGAAGAGGATCATGCTTTTAACCCCCAGGTACATGGAATAGTTATATTCATGAGTCTACAATGTTGGATCAATTATGTGGAACATATATGAAATCACAATATCTTTCAACTGTGATGAGTGTGGCTGATTTTTCTCAATGGGATTTCTTCCATATAAAGACCAGAAGCTCTGATGGCAGCAAGCCAGAAAATTTGCAGCTGGTAACGCAATCTACAGGAAAAGAGAGTTTTTTTTTTTTTTTTTTTTTGGCAAATGGCTGTGGATAAAATCATTATGTCTTTCTGTTTTGTATAAATATTTTGTGATTTTCTTTGTGATGAAAACAATATGATGCATATTTTTTCTGTAATTTGTAAACTGAAGATATCTGAAACTACTTCCTACCTTTTCAGAACATTGCAGCTTTATGTAAATGTTTGTTCTTGTCCCCTCTCTATCTCTTGATCTGTGTTTATGTTTGTGTATCTTCTCTAAATTGTAGTCTTTCTTTCCTGTATGTGCAAACTTCTATACCACCTGTATCACTATGTCTTTTTTCCCCTGAAAATTCAGAAGTGCTGTTCATTTGAAAGTGGTTGCAATATATACTATGAATTCACTGTTATGTAGTTGAAAATCAAGCAGTATTTTAGCTGTCCATGACAGACTAAAATACTGTGAATTTAGATAATCTGATAATGCTCACTGCCATGTCACTGATTAGTTTAGTAGTATTTTACAAAACCTCTGAAATCAAGTTATAAATCATCTTTATAGACCAAAACAGATAATGATATGACAATAGAGAAGAGCACTGGCCTTGACATTTATGAAGGCTTATTTATAGAAGGAAACATACATGAAGAAATTTATACAACTTTTGCCATGGAACCAGTGACTAGTATGAATAATGTTCACAAATAGGTCATACTTGACAGAGTGCCAGTGAATAAAACTAGAGCTATTTTGGAAGCTAACTCATGACATATAAAAGGATGGGCAAAGAAAGCTATCATGCTAAGGGTGTATTTTTCTGGTGGAAAGCTATCATACTAAGGTTATATTTTCTGGTTGACATGGCAGGTTTAGAATGTAGAACCAGAGCAGAAGCTGATATTGTGCTGCTGGTGGATGGCTCATGGAGTATTGGACGGCCAAATTTTAAAACTATCAGGAACTTCATTGCCCGTATAGTTGAAGTTTTTGATATTGGTCCTGACAAAGTACAGATTGGTAAGTTCTCATATGTTGGAGTGAAAATGAGGCATAACTGCTACACAGCCACGTAAGAACTGAGTAAAGATGGCTTTTTTTCCAGGTCTTGCACAGTATAGTGGAGATCCCAGGACAGAATGGAATCTCAATGCTTACCGAACCAAACAGGCTTTGTTAGATGCTGTAGCTAACTTACCATACAAAGGAGGCAATACTCTAACAGGTATGTCACACTGCCAGGATATTCCTTATGCTCCAGTAACAATAATTCTGGTAGCTGACCTCAGTATTGTTCAGTAAGCTCAAATGTGTCCATGATGAAAGGGCCTTACAGTTCAGTTCAGTGTGTTTGGAAGAGAACAGGCATAGCATAGACATCTAAACTCAGTGGAAGTCTGGAGAAAAGTGGTAGAGGAGAGCTTGGGTGATGAAGAGCTTGGGTTGCTGTTGAGCATGTGAGAAGAAGAAAAGACAGTTCCATGTCAAGGTCTGAACGAAGACAAGATGACGACCCAGAAGGGAGGCTAGAGGAGATCAGATAGGAAGATGATGCATAGAAGGTAAGAGATTAGAGACTTTGAGAGGGCTGAAATAGTATCAGTTGCTGATAAGTCTAGATGTTGGGCTGCAACTAGATTCTGAGTAGTTCTAGAAGGAAGTAAATTGTGGAATGATGTTGTCAGAGTGCAATCACTAGGATGAAATTCTCTCCTTTACTGTGACTACTATATGGAAATAGTTTATACTGATGGTTACCTTCTTTGTACCATGCTAGGAATGGCCTTGGATTTCATCTTAAAAAACAATTTTAAACAAGATGCAGGCTTAAGGCCCAGAGCTCGCAAAATTGGTGTTCTCATCACTGATGGCAAATCGCAAGATGATGTAGTCACCCCTTCAAGAAGACTCAGAGATGAGGGAGTGGAACTTTATGCAATTGGTAAGTATTATATGAAGAGGTGGCCTGTGCCAACACCCCTCCTGCCCATGTGTTAAATGCGCAGAGAAGTAGTCACATACGGAAGTACCTAAGGGGGTATTCAAAGAATGTGTTTAGGGACTGAAGTTCACAGCATTATGTTTCATGGCTGTCATGTCTAACAAGTTTTGTTTTCATGTCTTCTCTGTAAGGTATTAAAAATGCAGATGAAAATGAATTGAAGCAGATTGCAACGGATCCAGATGACATCCATGCTTACAATGTTGCAGATTTCTCTTTCCTGGCTAACATTGTTGATGATGTAACCACAAATCTGTGTAACAGTGTGAAAGGTCCAGGTACATCAAATTTTCAGTCTAATTCATGCTTTTTCCATTTATGTGCTTGCACTGCTAATTCTTTTTTATTACTTGTTGGGAACACTGTGTAGCCCTGGGCTGTTTTTTCAGCTGCTGGTGTGAGGAAGTTGTGCAGACCACCTGAAATGCCCTGCAGGGGTTCTGCCTTTCAACAATGACTGTGTTATACCTAACACAGCATGACATGCTTGGATATGCCGCCTTTTCTCCCAGAGTCGGGAAGCATGTTGCTTAGTGCTTCACCTTTTTGCTCATTGTGCCAGATTTTGATGATACTCATCCAATAAGGAAAATTTCAGCAGCTCTGCTCTTTTTGAGTATTAATGTCTGACAGCCCAAAAGCAAAGCCAAAAGCATGGAAAAACAGTAATGTTAGCTGATGGTTCTCCAATGAAGTGCTGGTGTTGAAGGTGGAGTAGGAAAGATAGGGAGTCTGTTTGGTCTTGAGGGTGTGACAGTGAGCTACCTTTTCACACAGTTGTTTTAAGAATTCTGGAGGAATCAGAAGCATAAGCAAGTACCTAAAGAGAGATTTTATCCTAAGCAGTTTTTTTTCTTCTGTTTTTATTCCTGATGATAAAAGATAAATTAATAATTTTTTTATTTGCTTCCACTTGTAGGTGATTTACCACCTCCCTCTAACCTAGTTATTTCGGAAGTGACACCTCGTTCTTTCAGACTGAGATGGAGTCCACCTCCTGAGAGTGTTGATAGATACAGAGTTGAATATTACCCTGCCTCTGGAGGTAGCCCTCAACAGGTTAGTACTGTATGTTCATCACATGTCTGTAATACCCGTGGACTTCCACATCACAGTAATGTCATTCTGAAGTTTGTGCTGTGTATGGCATAACAGTAAATGACAAAAGGCTCCCAAGGTCAAGAATATTGTGCCTCGGTAAATGATACACAAAATTACAAAAAGTAGGAGCATGAAGATGACTTTTGTTGTTTTAAAATCGTGAATCCAGGAGTAAAATGTATTTCTTAAAAACAGTTGACTGGTATTTCTAGTAATTCCTTTCTGTTCATATTCCATTGTGATATATTGGTTTAAATAAGTCTGTAGTAGAAATTTTCTGAGCATACTCTTGGGTAGGCTTACTGTCTTTTTAGTACATTTTCTTGTTAATATAAAAAAAGATGGTGGGTGATACAGGTTGTATAACGGTACTTTGAATCTGTGCCTAAGCATATCCTCCGAACTATTTAATACATAGGGTCAAACTCATCTTGTGGTTATTTTCTACATAGAGAGCCAGTAACCAGCAAACGGTGATTCTAGGTGATCTGAATTGCTCATGACTCTCTTCAACCAGACAGAATAGTATTTAGGAGAATGAAGTTAGATACCTCTGTGTACCTAACTCTGAATTTCCCGTCTCTGAATGTGGCTTTTAAATCTTAACTCAGTTTTGACTTATGCAGAATTTAGCCTTAGTAAATGACCTCAGGATTTGATTTTTGATTAGGGTTGGAGCAGCCATTCCAGTGCATGCTAACTTTACAGCTTAACTGTTTGCTGGCATTTCTGTTCGGCAAGGTGTTGCTAATGCCATGTGCTGTAACCATCTAGATTATCCTGGGAGTTTAAAACTTTTTTCTGAAGTGTTAACATATATCTCTGGCACTTTCTTTAGATTGCTGAGTAATATATAAGTGTAAGCCATGTGTGAAAGCAGGATGCACAGTGAGTGCTGCTAGATATGTCCAGCTCTATTGAAAACAAATGTCTGTCTGAAGTTTTCCTACAGCTTGCTTTGCAAAAACAAAGGTATATTGACAGGATTAAGACCATACTTATTTTTAGTTCCATACTGTTGATTTCTGAAGAGTTTCACAGGGAATGATTTTTTTCTTAGAGATAAGATTACAAATGCATTTGTTGTGCAGTGGTTAACATTGCTTCTCTTTTGTGTAGTTTTACGTAAGTAGGATGGAAACAACAACAGTTCTGAAAGATCTGAAACCTGAAACAGAGTATGTTGTTAACGTGTTTTCTGTGGTGGAAGATGAAAGCAGTGAACCTCTAATCGGCAGGGAAACAACTCGTAAGTTACAAATGGAACTCGGATAACATGTTAACAGCCAGTTTGTTGTGTGGGGAGCTGTCCAGTAGAGCTTTCAGCACTATGGGCTTTCTTAAAGGAAACAGACTTTTTAATTGGAGTGACCAAATTGTGTTGCGTTACACTGCTTGTTCAAATCTTGGCTGAAAAACTAGACCAAAGTGAAACACCATTGTGGTAAAAAATGTTTGTTTCAGCTTCTTGCCAGGCTCATAAAGCATGGCTGTACAAGACTAGAACAACAGACATGAATACAAGGCAGAGTTTATAAATTCCTGAAATCTCATCGTATACAAATGTGTGCTCCTTCATTTTTATGCTAGATAGTAAATTTCTGCAGAATGCTATGGTAGTTCATTCTAATTTTATAAGATTAACAAAGCCAGTTCAACACAATTACATCACTTCCATGAGACATAACTTAGCCATTATGTTTCTAATATTAGCTGTCTACATGATTGATTTTAGGTATATTTATGCTGAAGGCAACATAGGGTGACTTTCCTGTCTCTTTAAGTATATTGAATGTTAGGTGTTCATTTCACTTCTTTGATTGTTTTGTATTACACTTGTCGTAAAAATCACATACATACTTTAAGGATTTATGAAGTCTGTGGCAATTTTTAATGTTTATTTAATAATGTGAGAAATATAGCAAAAAAGAAGGAAATACAAAAAATCCTTTTATAAGTACAGATCCCAAACCAGTCGTGTTCTGTTTCATATTAGAGCATTCATGTGAGTTAATGCTGCTTTTTAGAATGCTCAAGTGTTCCAGTGCAGACTTATAGTTTTAGCTGTGCGTAGCAAATCTGTAGCACATCAAAATGTGATGACCGTTACCTCATTGTTAAACTAAGCACCACTTAAAATACCATTACTTGCAGATCACCTTGCTACTACCCATAATGTACCCTAATACCCATGTGCTATATTCTCAGTAGTACTACCTGTGATGTGAAATATGAAAGGTGAAGAAGGAGAAGGAAATAAATTAATATGTATCTTTTATTTGGCAGTGCCAATCTCCTCAGTGAGAAACCTGAATGTTTATGACATTGGATCAACTTCCATGCGAGTGAGATGGGAACCTCTCAACGGAGCTACTGGTTATTTGTTAACATATGAACCTGTGAATGCCACAGTCCCTACCACAGAGAAAGAGGTCAGAGAATTTGTCTTCAATTCCTGTACTGCACTAAAAATAAATTAAGAAAACCAGATACATTTTATTGATGTATCATAGCAGTCAAAAGATACTGGCATGTACTTCTCGAAATGCAGTGCACTTACTGGGATATTATATACAATGACATCAGTCAGGAAGCTGTAAATATACTGTGAATCTCACAAACAAAATTCCCTTGAAGTTAAATCATTGCTTGCTTTTCTACCTTTGCTTTATTCGGTTTTTAAACATGGTATGTTGTTTTTCATGTGCAGATGCGTGTTGGACCATCAGTGAATGAGGTTCAGCTGGTAGATCTCATCCCCAATACTGAGTACACTTTAACAGCTTACGTATTATTTGGTGATATCACCAGTGACCCACTCACCACTCAGGAAGTGACATGTATGGACGTCTTGATTTTTACTTTGTTGTTATTGCTTCAGCAACCTTTAACTTTCATTTTATTTCATTCAACAATTTTTGCATATTGTGGTTTGTTTAGAAGACCATCTTTTCAGTGTTTTTTGCATTCTAACACTCATACATTTCACTGGAATTGCCTTTAAGATCTTTTGGAAAAGGGAACAACTATTAAAAGAGGAACAGAAGGCTTTTTACCTTGAATAATAGAGTTGTCTTGACAAGCTTGAGTTTATAGTGCTTTTAAAAGGTCTCAATTTTGCTTGCATTAATTTAGAAGCCTTGTTCCTGAATTCAGACATTGTCTTAAGTATAGAAAACGCCATACCAAGAAAAAAATTGATCTAAACCTGGCTTCCTTTTTTAAACCTTTTGTTAAACATCTTTCTTTAAACATTTACTACTGGCAGAGGCATGTTTCTGGGCTAGATGAATGCAGTATGGTTATTATGTTCTTTAAAAATGTGAAACCCTTAACTATGACATGAAAAGTGGCTGTTGTCACCAAAAGTTATGATCTTAAGCACTGATACTTCTAAAAGCATTATGCTAATAATTTATAAGGGTGAAGCTACTGTAGTTTATAGCTATTTTGCTTGTTGCTGGGACAGTAAGCTCTTAAGCTGTCTCATCTAATGGCCAGAGCAATGAACTTCCCAGAAAGTTATTGCCTCCATTTCAATGAAATGCATGAAAATAATTTAATTCCTTCTGTGAGAGACCTATACCTCTGCTGTGAACAGCATTTTCACTTACTACTGTGCTGTCATTGCTACTGTCATTATTTTTACAGTACCTTTGCCTGGACCCAGAGACTTAACACTTCAGGATGTTACTCACAGCAGCATGAATGTCCTCTGGGATCCTGCCCCAGGAAAAGTTCGAAAATACATCCTACGATACAAAATAGCTGATGAAGCTGATACAAAGGAGGTAAATGACAGGAAAATTTCTGAAAGGACTAGAATATAGTTTTATTTTGAGGATCTAGGTTACTAATGCAGTCAGGAAATAGTGCCGATTTCTAGGAAACTGAATAAGCACCAGATAGATTTCTTTGAGTACTCCCCTCTTCTTCCTCCTCCAGAGAGGAAGAATACTCAAACTGGCTTGAGGATTTTCCCGTGCTAGGACAAATAGCCATTTCTATTCTCTGTGTAAGTGCAAGCTGTTCTTAGAGGTTGGCAAGATAACAATTAGGAGTACAGGATTGTGGAATAAAGGTACGTTAGCGCCTTTGCCCACTGCCAGACCGTATGTGAGTATTGTGAGAGATGTCTTTGACTTATGTGCAAGCTTTCCATAATTGCACTGGTAGTCGTGAATCAGCTCTTGGAGGATTAAATGTGTTTCTGTAAGAGAAGGAGGATTTTCTGGAGATGCAGTCCTCATCCTCTTTTCCAAAAGAATGAAGCAGTGGTAGATCCACAAGTAGTACTAGTATCTGAGACAACATGCTTTGCAAAGGGAGTTAGAAAATAGCACTCAACATTCAGGTGTAAATTTAGGGGTAAATGGCAAAATTTAGCGTGGAATAGTTTTCTGTTTTTCAGTACAGGAATTTCTGCCGTTTAATCAAATGCAGAGTCAGAAATAGAGCAATTTACAATTGTTAAGTCACTATTTTTATTCTTAGGTGGAAATCGACAGACTCAAAACCAGCACTACTCTCTCTGACCTTTCCTCCCAAACACTGTATAATGTGAAGCTTGTTGCTGTATATGATGAAGGGGAATCCCTGCCAATAAATGCAGAAGCAGTCACTCGTAAGTGTTCTTAATGACACTTCCTGTGGTTATTGTTTTGCCTTATGTTCTCTTTAAGTTATGTGTGTTGCAATATATTATGGAGTTTAGGTGGAACAGCTGAGCCTGCAAGCTGCAAAGAGGTGACAGACCAGCAACTGAAGCAAAATTATTTGTGTTTAGAGGCTGGAGGAGGAGTACACAGGTAGAATTAGTAAGAAAATACGAGGGCAGAGGAAAGGTTTAGCAAGCCTATGCAGGAATCCAGGAAAGGAGTAGGAAGCTGGGGCATATGCTAGAGGATTAGAGAGACATGATCTTACTTCTGATCCAAGAGAGTTTTTGTACCGTGGAATGCTAAGCCAGTCTGTACTTCTAGAGAATCATAAAGGCAGCATTGGAGTAATCTCAACAAAGAGAGGCAAGGAAATGCAGTTGCATAAAAGGTAAGAGCTGATCTCCAACCAAATGAGGTGACAGACTGAAAGGAGAGAGCTGATATCAGGGAAGCCATCATCCTGATATAGACTTATGATTTAAGAAAACAGCTAACCAGAAGAGCTAGAATAGAAATGAGCAATGTTACCTGCCCCTCACTCTGATGTGACAAAAAGAGAAAAAAACATGCATGTGCTCATCCTTATTTTTTTTCTTCTGAATTTTTCGTTTTGTAGCCTGGTGTTTAAAAATGTTTGAGAATTTTTTGCTTGCTTTTGTGCTAGCCTTTCATTCTATGGCTGTGGTTTTGTGTGAATGTGTGTGTAAGGAAAAAGAGGAAAGCTCTGCCAAAGAAATAATTTTTAGCTGAATTCTCTGGTTTTACCTGTGTACTCATTTCTTCCCAGTGGCTATAATATTTTGACTCCTTAACCTGCAGTTCACCTCTCAGAATTCTTTCTAAGCACGTGGTGTAGTTCAGTCATAACTTATTTGGCTTATATAAAGAATTTTAAGATCTGGAAGAAACTCATGCAGGAGCTTGATCTCTGTGTGTGGGAGTTCATAATCACTCTAATTCCAAAATGTAAGAGCTAGGACTTCAGCTGCTGTGAGTAGGCATGTGAGTTGTGACCTCTACTGAGGTCAGTAGAGCTATGTCTGTTTTATCAGGTGATGACCTAGTAAGGTGACATTATGAAGGATGATTTGCTTAGTGTAGGTGGGCTGAGTTGTACTACAGCATTTTATTGTAGTCATTAGAAGCATGGTAACAGAGAAATGAATCTTCCACATAATCTTCTGAATTATTTGTCTGAGTAATTCCTTGGTTTAACTGTATTTATTTTGTAGTTATGTTTTGTGTAATACTTTTCCTTTTCTCATAATAGAGCCTGTGCCAGCACCAGTCAATCTCAGAATCACAGACGTAACCACGAATAGCTTCAGAGGAACTTGGGATCATGGAGCTTCAGATGTCTCTCTATATAGAATAACGTGGGGACCCTATGGACGATCAGAAAAACAGGAGGTAAGAATAGATAGTCACCATAAGATTTTGTGGGCAGTCTCTCAAAGGGTGTATTTTTGAAGTCGGAAATGTAATTAATAAATGGCCTACAACTTTCAAGCCCTCCTGTTGTGCTCAATGGAAGTTCAGTGAGAAGGTATAGAATGCATAATTACAGCCCCTTGTAGTGATGTTACTGTGTAAAAAATTACTTATTTATATCCCACTCTGTTTCTTTATTTCGGGTTGTTAGTTTTGCATTTATTTATTTTTTTTACCTTTTTTTTTTTTTAATTTCTCCACAAGACTATCTTAAATGGAGATGATAATAGTTTGGTCTTTGAAAATTTGAATCCAGATACATTATATGATGTCTCTGTTACTGCCATCTATCCTGATGAATCAGAAAGTGATGACCTCATTGGCAGTGAACGAACATGTAAGTAAATAAAGGGTTTTTGCATGTTGTTATTCATAGCTATTATATCAGACGGCATACATGTACAAGAATTCTGAAAACTCTTTCTACTTTTTTCTAGTACCTTTGATACCTATCACCACACAAGGTAAGAATCTGAATTTCCAGGTATAGTATTATTAAAGAATACCGACAGCTATCTTTTTCTAAACTGAGGAGTGTTGACATTAAAAAGCTGAATCACTTTATAAATATTATTGTGTATTTGGAAGAATACTAGACACTAGATTACCACATGTTCATTATTTTACAAACATTACAGTTTATGTTGTCTTGTATTTAATACATTCTGCTCTTGGTCAGGCATTCATGCAGCCTTAAAAGTATGAATGAAGTGTATGTCCCTGCTTCTTGCTTGAATTACATATTTGTTCTTTTCTTGATTATGTTTCTCAGCCCCAAAGAGTGGACCACGAAACCTTCAGGTGTACAATGCAACTTCACACAGTTTGACTGTGAAGTGGGATCCTGCCAGTGGTCGAGTGCAGAGATACAGGATCATTTACCAGCCTATCAGTGGGGATGGCCCTGAACAGTCGGTAACTAATTTTGAAGTGACATAGTTATTCAACCTTTAATGATAGTTCTGCAAAATAATCCATTGGAATAATTTATTTTCAAAGCACAACAGTGTGTATATTAATCTCCTTTTAGGTGAAGATTTATATTTACAGTGAAGAAGTATACATTCCCACCTTTTTCCAGGAGAGAATGCTCTTTATGAAGCAAAAATGACTTGGATATAGCCTTTTTTTCTTGAAAATCACAGCCTGCTTTCTTGAAAATCACATAATCTATAGATATAACTATAATAAAGTTAAAATGTGTTGAGGAACAAGTCAATCAGCAGATGAGACTAGAAGTTACAGATATATAGTCATAGAATCCTAGAATCATAGGTTGGATAAGACCTCTAAGATCATCAAGTCCAATCATCCACCCAACACCACCATTCCTACTAAACCATATCCTGAAGTGCCACATCTACAGGTTTTTTAAACACCTTCAGGGATGGTGACTGCACCCCCTCCCTGGGCAGCCTGTTCCAGTGCCTGACCACTCTTCCAGTAAAGAAATTTTTCCTAATATATAATCTAATCCTCCCCTGATGCAACTTCAGGCCATTGGCTCTCGTCCTATCGCTAGGTACCTGGGAGAAGAGACCAACACCTGCTTCACTACAACCTCCTTTCAGGTAGTTGTAGAGAGCAATAAAGTCCTCCCTCAGCCTCCTCTTCTCCAGACTAAACAGGCCCAGCTCCCTCAGTCGCTCCTCGTAAGACTTCTTCTCTAGACCCCTCACCAGCCTTGTTGCTCTTCTCTGGACACGCTCCAGCACCTCAATGTCCTTCTTGTAGTGAGGGGCTGCTGGCTCATGTTCAGCCGGCTGTCGACCAACACCCCTAGGTCCTTTTCTTCTCGGCAGCTTTCTAGCCACTCCTCCCCAAGCCTGCAGCATTGCTTGGGGTAGTTATCACAACAATCAATAATAGGAACTACCACGGCTACTTCCACAGTCCAGAATTTTCAATTGTTTTCATAGTGTGGTTCATGTGCTGTCAGAGGGACTTTGCCATGGAACATACTGTGGACAGCTGAGACTGTCTCTTGTAGAATAATAGAATCATAGAATGGTAAGGATCGGAAGGGACCTTAAAGATCAACTGGTTCCAACCCCCCTGCCATGAGCAGGCTGCCCCCTTTCAGTTTAGAGCTGTTCCCCCTTGTCCTATCACTACACACACTTGTGAAAAGTCCCTCTCCATCCTTCCTGTAGGCCCTGTTCAGGTACTGGCAGGCTGCTATAAGGTCCCCCCGGAGCCTTCTCTTCTCCAGGCTGAACAGCCCCAACTCCCTCAGGCTGTCCTCATAGGAGAGGCACTGCAGCCCTCTGATCATCTTTGTGGCCCTCCTCTGGACCCGCTCCAACACATCCATGTCCTTCTTATGTTGGGGGCTCCCGAGCTGGACACAGTACTCCAGGTGCAGTCTCATGAGAGCGAGGTAAAGGGGCAGAATCACCTCCCTGGACCTGCTGGCCACACTTCTCTTGATGCAGCTCAGGATACTGTTGGCTTTCTGGCCGCAAGCGCACATTGCCGGCTCATGTTGAGCTTCTCATCCACCAGTACCCCCAAGTCCTTCTCCTCAGGGCTGCTCTTGAGCCACTCTCCGCCCAGCCTGTACTTGTGTTTGGGATTGCCCTGACCCACATGCAGGACCTTGCACTTGGCCTTGTTGGACTTCGTGCAGTTCACGCAGGCCCACCTCTCCAGCCTGTCAAGCTCCCTCTGAATGGCATCCCTTCCCTCCAGCATGCCAACCACACCACACAGCTTGGTGTCATCGGCAGACTTTCTGAGGGTGCACTCAGTCCCACTGTCCATGTTGCCGACGAAGATATTAAACAGCACCGGCTCCAGTACTGACCCCTGAGGCACACCCCTCGTCACTGGTCTCCACTTGGACATCAAGCCATTGACTGTAACTCTTTGTGTGCATCCATCGAGCCAGTTCCTTTATCCAACTAGTGGTCCATCTGTCATCTCTTACCACGCTAGGGACAGGATAACTGCCCAGAAGCAGCAGCTGCAAAACCAAATCCATGCAAACCAGATGCTAGGGAAGTCTTTAATGTATTTTAGTGTTTTTTATTGTGATTGAGCAGCTGTAATGATAGGGAGAGCCAGTACTTTGTGATCAGCCAGTTTTCCCTAAGTTGTCAGCAAGAGCTGTGTTGACTACTGACGGCCTACGCAACACAGCCTGGGAATGGTAATTCAGTCAGCCTGTTTATCAGAAATGTGTGCTGCTTAAAAATGCCCTGTTCTGCAGTGGGAGGCTGTTGTGGTTACTGCCAAATGACTCAGAGGAACAGTCTCAGACGAAAACCACACTCATTTATGTTGTTCCTGTAATCGGAGATCACACATGTTCAGAAGTATATCTAGGAATGTTTAGAATCGGTTGGATACGTATGCACCCATTTTTACTCTCTTCTGAACAACATGCATTTGAGTTGAGGTAATTGAACTGTTGACTGAATTGAGTAGTTGAATGAAGTTTAGTAAGAAATCACTAGAAGAAAAAGGAACATCGGTATGGTTAATGAATATCTGTAACTAGTTGCTGGTACTGGAGTAAAAAAAAGAATTATGGGCATTCTGTTGAAATTTGTGCAACTAATATACTTAATTATTCACAACTGGATAGAGTCCAGCAGTGGAAGTCAGAGAATACACCTCTTTTTGAGGAGACCATACAGAACACTCATGCTCTCTTGATGGCATTTTAGTGTCTATCAAATAATTCTCTGCCGTATGATAGTAATTCCTTCTCTGCTTTTTGTGTTACTGTGATATTTGATTAAACTGTGGATGCTGGGTAGATAGACCCAGAACAGAATTTATGGAAGATTTTTATTTCTCTGTCTGACATTTAATGGCTTCAGCACCAAGAAACATCACAGGTGATTTGAAGACAACTTTGCAAAAACTGCATGCCAAAGTCCAGGGACCATCGTGGTCATTTAGGTTCAGGTTTTGAAAGGCAAACAGATACTAAAATATGGAGGTAGCCATGATGGGATGTTAAAGTTTTTATGCTTTGAGCTGAGCTTTTGTACACTTCAGTACAAACAAAAAGTTTCCTTGTAAATTAATCTACTTCTATGAAATGTGAAGAAGTCTAAATGCTTGCTTATTATCAGTTCATCATCAGAAGCTTTTGAGTGTGATGAAAAATGTATTAGCTGAACAGGCTTTGAAAATGTGCAGATAGTCTTAAAAGTACAAAGGATGATCTTGAGCAAGTGTAATTTCACACAGTTAAAAACCAAAAAGCTTATGAATCCCAAGTGCTGAACATCAAAGTATTAATCTCAGTGCACTGTAAGTCTTCTGCTTGGTGGAGATTATGATCACAGGTTTATAAGTAAAAAGAAAAAAGAAATATGTAATGGTTTTAGATTCTTAACAAAGACGTTTTTAGAAGCTGAAGTATCATGCTGTAAAATTTTTGAAACCAAGGAGAGATAATGTTGATATCATATCAAATATATTAGGGATCTACAGAGTGTTGTAATTTTTTCCATGCTTGCATTCTACCTGAGAGTGGAGCATAAAAAGGCCAATTCGAAGTCTGTCAAAATGAATAAAAGACTCTCATTGATTTCAATATGGTATAGTCAGAGGCAATGCAGAGAAACAGCTCTTTGCTGGCATAGAACTGGCAGTTGATATATACTTGTGATTATATGGAAGTTTGGAGGTGTTAAAGAATACTGGCTTTGTGTCACTAGACTCTTTCTAAACTTGCTAAGATTAGTATGTACTAAATATTATTATTTTTCAATGTCTACTGCCAGTGTCAGTCACAAGAGCATTGCGGCATGATAGATCACAGCGTTTTCCACTCTGCATCAAATGCTTACATTCTTCACCATAGCAGTAAGCATAAAAGTGGCAGCACAAAAGGAATTTTAACCTTTTTCTTGTGTTTTACTGCAGACTATGGTTGGCGGGCGGCAGAACAGTGTGGTGATACAGAAGCTGCAGCCTGACACACCATATGCTATTACTGTGTCATCGATGTACGCAGATGGTGAAGGGGGGCGAATGACAGGACGAGGCAGAACCAGTAAGTAACTCCTTGGAATCTGCTTATTAGGTGCAAAAAACAATATTGATGTAGAGCTTTTCAAATTCGATGAGAAAAATTTCTTGTGGTGAGATTCGTCCCATTTGTATTTGTCATTTGTCCTTTGGGTTTCAAGTATCTAAAGTAAGAAAGCCTGTCAGTCTATGGGCTGTAGAAAAACCTTGGACCACTACCTTAGACCAGATGCCCAGCTTTCAAGGCTGAGAGAAACCCTGATGCTACTGTGGAACATCTTCCTCATTTTAATCTGTTTAATTGTCTTCTTATGCCACACCTTAAAGCATCTGAAGGCATGTGACTCCCATATATGTGCTGTTACATAGAAGTTTATAATTTTCCTGTCAGCACCTTCAGTTCAAAGGCTGACATTTACAGTGTGCACTTTGAGACTCCACGATTTTATGCTGATAGCATTGTTTTGATCCTGTATAGAAAGCACTGAGTGATTTGTCACCAGAGGCACTTCAGGCATTAAAAACCAATTCACTATTTTAAATTGATTAATTATTTAAGTATAAATTTATTAATTAGTTTGTACTTAGTTTACTTTTGAGCCTGTAATGGAAAGTCAGACATAACAATGTGTTTGGTGAGGAATGAGGAAAACAATCCCAATGAATTCATCTTAGAAGTCTAAAAGAGTGTCCAGAAAGGATTTTTTTCTTACTAGACTTAGCATTCTTTATGCTGTTGGATGGGGCTGATGTGTTCTGATTAATGAAGACAAATTTAACATCAACTATTAAACCTGTTGTTTTTTAAAATTTTTTGATTATACATGACATAGGCATGATCTGACGGCACAGGTGAGAGAATGTGGTTTGACATTTCTGACAGCCCATTGATCTGTTTCAGAACCTCTTACTACTGTGAAGAATTTGCTGGTTTATGACCCAACCACCAGTACTCTGAATGTTCGATGGGATCATGCAGAAGGAAGTCCTCGCCAGTATAAAGTGTTTTATGGACCTACTGCTGGAGGTGCAGAAGAAATGGTAACTATATTGTGTGGATTTCACTGACTGTCTTGGATAAATTGCAGCTCATGGTGCTAGTGAGAGAAATACTGCTGAGTGAAGTGGGTCTTGTTTGCCTATGCACTGGCTTTTTTCTGTTCATAACTACCCTGGAGAAAATGCAGAGCACCTCCATGAAAGTCCGTTACTCCCATATGTGTTACAAATGTTTGATATTGTATAGTAGATCTTCAGTGATTAGTTCTTAGCAAAGGGCTTTAATACCACACACAATTTTTTGTTTATTTATTCTTAGGGCAGTGCATGTGAATATAAGGCTGACTTTAGGGTGTACAAAACAGTCTTGAAAATGGGAACCCTTGTTGCCGACTGGGGAAATATTATTCTTTCCCACTTCTGTTTCTTTTTCTGTATCTGTGCAATGTGATGTGCCTGTGAAATGAGGAGTACATGAATTGCCACTGTTTTAATAGCATCTAGAGAGCTACTGGTGATAAATAGTCTTAAATGCTGTGGAGTTTTACTTTCTAAATTAGCTGCTCATTACTTCTTGTCATTAGCATGTTGTAGTGTTATGTAAAGCTTATTTTTTTAATTTTGAAAGTGACTTTTTGAGGCCTGTACACTGCTAAATAGTAGTCATTAAAGAGATCACTGCAGATTCTGCTACTGTTACTAGCAGAACAGGATTTGGACCCAAAAGTGAACATAGCTGTAAGGGATCGTATAGGAGAGCATAGGACTTAACAACTATTTTTGTTAAGTCCAAGACAGAACCTTCTTGAAAGGCAATTCCAGGAGATCATAGAATCATAGAAAGTTTTGGGTCGGAAGGAACCCCTAGAGGTCATCTAGTCCAACCCCCCTGCAGCGAGAAGGGACACCGCTAACTAGATCAGGTTGCTCAGAGCCCTGTCCAACCTGGTCTTGAATGTTTCCAGGGATGGGGCCTCCACTACCTCTCTGGGCAACCCGTTGCAGTGTTTCACCACCCTCATTGTAAAGAATTTCTTCCTTATATCCAGCCTAAACCCACCCTGTTTTAGTTTAAAACCATTACCCCTCGTCCTGTCACTGCTGTCTCTACTAAAAAGATTGTCCCCATCTTTCCTATAGGCTCCCTTTAAGTACTGAAAGGCTGCAATCAGGTCTCCCCACAGCCTTCTCTTCTCCAGGCTGAACAAGCCCAACTCTCTCAGCCTGTCCTCATAGGAGAGGTGCTCCAGCCCTCGGATCATTTTTGTAGCCCTCCTTTGGACCCGCTCCAACAGTTCCATGTCCTTCTTGTGCTGAGGGCTCCAGAGCTGAACGCAGTACTCCAGGTGAGGTCTCACCAGAGCAGAGTAGAGGGGCAGAATCACCTCTCTCGACCTGCTGTCCACGCTTCTCTTGATGCAGCCCAGGACACAATTGGCCCTCTGGGCTGCCAGCGCACATTGCCGGTGAGATTGAGATACCAGGAACCCTGTTACTTCAGGCTTCACCTTTTCTAAAGTTTTTGTCACATCCAGTCTAGAAGTGAGATGTGGTGGAGGAGAAAGGGAGATACAAAATAGTTTAAACTTTTTGCCTATTTATGCAAATATCATGTCCTTACCTTTCCTCTTAAATTTGTAGACCACAGTACCAGGAAACACAAACTATGTCATCCTGAGGAGTCTTGAACCCAACACACCTTACACTGTAACTGTGGTTCCAGTTTTCCCCGAGGGGGATGGTGGACGTGTCTCTGACACTGGAAGAACTAGTAAGTAAAATAGTCCTTTTCGAGAAAACGTTATGATTTTTTGTGAGTGGCTCAGATGATTAGAAATTTATTTTGCATCAAATATGGAAGATCATTTTCCCCAAAGCTAAAATGTAAGTGTAAGAAACTCTGTTCACCTGCTTGGTTATGGTTGCAGCCTCTTAACTTGTTCCGTTTATTTGTGTATTCGAGTGGAGGCTTTCAGTCCACTTAGGCAAACTCAGCTCTTATGTTGTGCAGTGAACATACTGTTTACTTCCAAAAAATGGTAAAATTGTAATTGTAGTGCCAGTAGCAATACTGGTAAACAAATGGCAAATCCAAATGGTTAATCCATGCTAACGTCCATACCATGTACTTAAAATTTTCCAGGGAGTCTGAGCTCCAAATGTCAGCATGAACTAAAATATGTGGGTTGTGGCTACTTTTCATACATGTCTGATCAACAGTAGAGTAGCAAAGTGTTGTGATCATACCTTCAATTTGCACTGTAAACTCTGCTGCCTGGCAGGGACGTTTGTAAAGACTAATAGATTCTTAGATTTGTAGATTGTGGGGTAACAAAAGTGATACGTTTATCTTGGGCTGATGTGCTTTTTAGCTTCCTTTGAGCACTGTTATAAATTCAAGAAGAACTAGAACTTACGTAAGCAACTTTGCAAAACTGAATTTAAATTATCCTTTATCTAGTGGAGAGAGGAACACCAAGAAACATTCAAGTTTACAATCCCACACCAAACAGCATGAATGTCCGATGGGAACCTGCTCCAGGTCCAGTACAGCAATACAGAGTTAATTACTCTCCACTGTCTGGCCCAAGGCCATCAGAATCTGTAAGTAATTTAGTTTTTGTACGATTCCTTGTAAGTGTGTGGAGGATATTGCTTCCGGCAAGGAGTGTAGAACAATAATAATAAACTCAGGCCAACTGTCTGCCCAGGAGTGCCCCTGCTGAAAACACTGTGTCTACAGAATTTTAGTCCCTTGGAAATAAATGCTTAATTTGGTGAAATAAAAGAAATAAGAAATAAGAGTCTCCCATTTAAAACTGAGTATTGAGGATTGAGTGCCCTTTATCATATTGCAGGTAAAGATAAGTTGAAATAAATCCTTTTTTGTTTTTTTTATTTTGAAAAATATTTACTAGGAAATGCTGAATTATGAAACCAGATGCCAAGTTTATGTAATTTTACCACTAAAACACCTGTTTACCCCAAATCATTAATGTTTCGGTAGATCTTGGTGAGCGAAGTCTAAATATGGGTAAAAAATTGCCCTCCAGATGTGAAGTAAGAGTTCTCAGATTTCTTAGCAGTTTTAGAGCTAAGCCTGTGAATGTACTCACACAGATTGTACACCCATATTGTACATGTACAGATAATTATGTTTTTATGTAAGAAAGTGTAAGAATTTTTTAATGAAACATTGCATCCGTAAAGTGAAACTGCATATTACTTCACACATCAGTGGGAACCCGTGTATTAGTACCTGTTACAAAATGTCCTTTATATGTCAGTATACCATGACAGAATTTACTTTTTTGATTTCTGTTCCTGAATGTTTCTTCTCTTTTTCTATTCTCTATATTATTTTTTTCCCTATTCTATTTTCTATTATTTTTAGTAAAATGTAAAAAATAACAATTCCATTTGCAGAATGAGAGCTCCTTATGTATTTACCATGTTTTTGCAGCTGCTCTTGAATTTTTATCAATATTCTTTGGGCATTTCAAATTTGTGTTATTTTTCTTGGAAAAAGTGCAGTGTGATCAATTTTTCTAAATTTCATTCACATTGTTCATGGTAACAAGACATGGTATAAACTGAAGCTTTTTTTATATAGGTCCCTTTTGTTTCTGTTTTAGATCGTGGTACCAGGCAACACTCGTGATGTGATGCTGGAGCGCTTGACTCCTGACACGGCTTACTCAATAAATGTTATAGCTCTGTATGCCGATGGAGAAGGAAATCCAAGCCAAGCACAGGGAAGAACATGTAAGAGGCAGTCAGTACTTGCTTGCTGAAATACGTGTCAAAATTAGCGTGTGGAGAATTTGTAAAATTGGTTGCAATCACAAATAATGTAAGCCACTCAGTGCAACTCTGAGATCACTGCATCTGAATTATGGCTGAAGCAATTACAGGCCTCCATGAAAGGGAGCTTTTGCTGTGTTGTCTGGCAGCTGTGGTACATGCATAATCACCAAAGTATCTCACTTGTGAAATAAGCCTAATTTGAAAGTTTGCATTTAAAAGCTGTTCTTTAAAATGTGATTATAGATAAATAGCAATTTGTCTTTTTGGGAAAAAAAAAAAAAAAGCACATTAAGATGGGTAGAATTTGCTATCAACAAAAAAAATGTGCTTCGTGTTGTGTCTTATGTGATAATTGTGTATGCCAACCTCTCCAGATATGTGTTTTTTACTGGAGATGCCTAAACACTAAAACCTCCTTGTTACAACTTTTTTTGTGGGATCTTGGTTGGCTTACACCTGTCTTCTTTAAAATTAATTCTTGAAACAACGTGTAAAGAAAATGCCTATGGCAATAAGCAGTCACCTCTATTATGCTGCTTCTATGCTTTCTCTATTAAATCCCCATATTCATCTAAAACTTGCAGATGTGACAGGCTGTAGTTGTACTTGTCTGCAAGAGTCTGAGAAGCAGGATATGTGTAGATGCTCACTTTGCGTGTCCCTCTGATGTTTTCTCCCTTCAATACTGCTCCAGTTCCTCCAGTTACGGCCCTATTTCTATTTAAGGCCCTCAGGCACTGCCATATTATCATTGACTATATCTACCTGTATATATTTATTCAGGGTTTCAGGGAGGGCCCTTAGCTTTGGCTTCAGGGCAGCATTTGAATCAGTGAGAGTGAAACTGGACTGGATCCAGCAAATCATGCTCTATACAAACTTCTGTGTTTTCTCTCCTTAGTGCCTCGCAGTGGTCCAAGGAATGTCAGAGTGTTCGATGAGACCACAAACAGCCTTTCTGTACAATGGGACCATGCTGATGGGCCAGTCCAGCAGTACAGAATCATTTATTCACCCATTGGGGGAGACCCTATTGATGAATATGTAAGTTCTGTAATTCCTTTGTAAGCGCTGAGATGTCCTCAGCTGATTCTTTAGGCTACAGAAAAACAAAGACGCCTCTTTTACATGTAGTACGCTTTATATGCTCTATGGGTTCTTTGGTCATTGTTGTCAATGCTTGAGAAGCCATGGTTTATATGAAACAGTTTTTTTTTCTTTCACAAAGGTGCAGAACATATACAGGTTAATGAACCATCTTGTGTGTTGAATATGTGAGTCCTATATTAATCAGAAGATTCTGAGCAGAACCTACTTCCTGACATTTAGTTCAAACGTTGTGCTACAGTGAATAGCCATCTATTAGTTCATACTCTATTCATTATGAAGTCAGTGTGCTAAGATACAGAATAAACATAAATCTGCATTCTATAAATTGAAAAGATTTGGCAGAGTTTAATAAGAAAGCACTGGTAACTTTGGTACAGCATCTAACTTGCTTTTGTAAGGTCCAGTATGAACTGTAAGCGTTTGTGTTTAATTTCCTGCAGCTTAATGATAGCACAAGTTAATCTGATGCTTATAAAAGTCTCTGAGTGTTTATAGCAAAGCCAGACTCAGATCCTATAAAGGTCAATTTTAAATGCTGTTACTGCTTATATGTTATTGCATAGGGCATGCTGAAAATTCACTGTTTGAAAATTCCCTACTGGATCTGTTAATCAGGACACACATATTTTTGAACACACATATCCTCTTTACAGACAAGATTGGACATTTCATAAAAATAGCAAGTCTCAAACAACTGAAATTTTTTATCAAGTAATAATGGAAAATGTTGACTGGGACACGGTTTTGAGACGGATGCCTCAAGTTACTTTCAGTAGCTTCAGTGCTTTATGGCCACTTTATGGAGCAGCATCACTTTTTGGATTATACCTACCTTTTGATTAGAAAAGATCAATAGTGCGTGGCTGCACCAGGAAGTTGAGGAGATTGAGGGATGCACAGGCACATTTTTACAAATCAAAATAGTTAGAGCTTCCTTCTCAGACTAACTTGTTTCTTCCAGGAAAATGATATCCTAAGATGAGGATAATGAAAAGGTAGAAATGGAACTGATGACTAGCGTGAATGACTTTGACTTCCATCCCCATTTTAGGAGTTTTTTCCTCCCTTTTTCTGTCTCCAAACACATCATCATGACTTTTTCCTTTTTATGAGGGAACAGTACTGAAATCTTGGTAAGGAACTGCAGCATCTCAGTCTGATGTGAGGATAGGGACTGAAGAGTCAATCTGGTTTACCTTTTTGTGCTGATCACAGTGTCTTATAATTTAAAACAACAAATACTAATAATTGTTTATAGGCTTTAACCTTTAAGATATCCTGAATGACTTTATCTACAGTGGATATAAAAAAACCATGCCAAACAACTTTTTAGTTAGGTTACTGTCATTATTGTTCAGTTACAGGACTGAGATTGTTTACCTCTGTTTCTTTTGTGCTCTAGACAACAGTTCCTGGGATAAGAAATAATGTGATACTACAACCACTGCAATCAGATACTGCATATAAAATTACTGTTGTGGCTGTGTATGAAGATGGAGATGGTGGACAACTGACTGGAAATGGCAGAACTGGTAATTAGTTTTAATATTGCATATTCTTTTTAAAAATTAAGGTACATGTTCATAGAGGACTCTAACATTGTTAATGTTTCATTATGCTAATTACATCTTTACAATGTAAGTTTCTAGAGGCTGAAAAATAGTCACTAGTCTAATCAGAGTGTTTTTCTTTAGTTGGCCTGCTTCCTCCTCAAAATATGTATATAACTGATGAATGGTATACACAATTCAGAGTTTCCTGGGATCCTTCACCGTCCCCTGTTCTTGGCTATAAAATCGTATACAAACCTGTGGGTAAGAAAACCTGCTCATTATGAATATACCACCTTCAGAACAGCGAGTGGCTAATGGGAGATCAGAATAGAAATCCTATGTATTGTGAAATGTTTGTGTTAAAGGATTTATTTATTTTTTTGTTTACTGGTTTTGATGGAATCTTAAGTCTTATTATCAGTATTTTATAAGAAGTACAAACTATCAAATACAGTGTTTCATACGTTCAATTACAGAGATTGAATCATATGGTTGAAATTTAATACAGTGACTATAGATAAAGTCCTGGACCAGACTTGGTTTTCCGCTCTTTAATATTTCTTGTCCTTCTGAGGATATGAACGGGTGTATTGGAGATGAGTATTGGACAGGTATTTAGGTACTAATGTCCTTCAGAACCTTTGTTTCATGTGACAGTGAAACAATATGCATACCTTTCTAGAAGTTAAAGTAAAAACACACATTGCACAATAGCTTGTAAAGCTATGTGTATGTTCTGTTTGCAGCAGTCTAATATGCTAAAGTTTAAGAAATTAGTACATTTTTTAGAAAAAAATAGTTTAACACTCAATGACGTATAAAAGATGGTGGATAGTTTTGTAGCTCACCTAATCATGAATCTTTCTCTCTCTCTGTACTTCCTTAATGCTTCCTTTAAATTCAAGGTTCAAATGACCCCATGGAGGTTTTTGTGGGAGAAGTGACTTCCTACACCTTGCATAATCTATCTCCCAGTACTACTTACGATGTGAATGTTTATGCCCAGTATGATTCTGGAATGAGCATACCTTTGTCAGATCAAGGCACTACATGTAAGTCAAAAGAATTTTGTTGTAGTCATGCTAGATATGTGCGCTGATCTGAGATAACGTTTATTAAGAGAGGATTTTTAAGGCTGGTTGTTAGAAAGTCTGAGTATTCTCTCGTGGTGAATACTTATCATCTGTCTATGATGTAGATCTTAAAAACACTAAGCTTGGAACAGTAATGGAAATACAGTTTTCAGTAATGATTTGATGATATAAAATTTTCTAGTCTGCTTCCTAAAGTTTTATTCATCTATAGTTGGAGTCAATCTTTAACTGTCTCCAGCGTACTACAGGATTTAACCATGCTAAGCAGGTCTAGGCTTTTTGCTACTCTGCTACTCTGCTCACAGGAAAGTCCAGTGATTGAAACTTCAGCTTTTCAGAAGGAGATGGTTTTGTTGATGGCCTCAGCTAAGAAACTTGTAAAAATTTCTTCAGTTAAGATGAATCAAGCATCTGGAGTTTTGTAGACTCAGTACATTCTTTTCTTACTGCCATATATATGAGTCAGATTCTGATTTTGGGAAGTTTCTTATTTCATAAAGAATTCAACTTCATGTGAAAACTTGTAAAATGAACTGTGGCCCAATATGGGAAAGATATCAGACGTTGGGCCTTTGTGAATAGGTAGGCTGGGATCTCTAGGGCTGGACCAGGACTACTATTATAATTTTCAGTTTGACGTGCTTCATGCATTACATACTACTTTCCAGAGGACAATTTTTCTCTTTCTCTGTTCACAGTATATTTGAATGTCACTGACCTAACAAGTTACAAAGTGAGTTGGGATACTTTCTGTATCCGATGGTCACCTCATCGGTCAGCAACTTCCTACAGACTGAAGCTAAACCCAGCAGATGGTAAGTGCAATTATTTTTTGCATTTTCTGGAAACATAATTCTCTTATTTCAATGACAGCACCACTTACTTGGGATGGTGGCAAGCACCCACCAGAAGTCATAATACATCTGGTTGAGCTTTAAAGGCTCTGAACATAACATTTTTTCTAGAGTGGTGAAAAAGCTGCAAAGAGGGAGTACTGCTTATTGTCAAGTTAACTTTCATTAGAGGGGATCTGCTAGCTACCTGGGTTTCATATGTACACTGCAGTGTTACTCTCCAGTATGCTTCAGGGTGCATAATCACCACATAATCCTGGTCTAGAAAGGCTTTAAGGGACAAGAAGACTGTTGTCCAATTTCTACACTTATTTGTACACATATTAAAAGGGAAATGGTGGGTTCTGACTTTCTTTCCTTTGGGCTTTTTTGACAGGTTCCAGAGGACAGGAAATCACAGTACGTGGGTCAGAAACGAGCCATTGTTTTACTGGCCTCTCACCAGACACAGAGTACAATGCTACCGTCTTTGTTCAGACCCCTAACCTTGAGGGACCTCCAGTGTCTATGAGGGAGCGTACCGGTAGGTAATAGATGCTGTGAACCTCAAGTTTTGGCTGTAGAATTTGTCTTGTTTCAGCTGTATAACTTGTCTTGCTCTTAAATGGCTTTCAAAAGCTCTTTTAAGTGATCTTCTTTC